TCTGGCTGGAAATCATTTTCTTGAATCAGAAGGCAATTTGGGATTATTTGGCTGTCATTTCTACGCGGCTGACATGAACTGGGGGAGCTAGCAACGCTCGTTTCCATTACGACTTTTAATCCGCGTGGGATCGAATAATGCCGCGCTCAAGTCGCAGTTGCCGAGCATTAAAGGCTGAATTGGCAATTCAATACTGACTGACTGGCTCTGACAATATCGCTCGCCCGCGTCCCACACAATTATTAGTCCGATGTTCCAAATAATAATCCGCCAGCTCTCGCCATGTAATTTGCAAAATAAGCTGGGTCGTTAACCTTTGCACCGGCGAGCTGGAATGCGCGGGGGTATTAAAAGGCAAACGCTTCGGGAAAGCACTTAACCTTCTTATTAAGGCGCATTGCTTGCTATAATGATTTTGCGCAACACTATCAATGCAGCGTAAATTGAATTTTATTTAGAAAAAAAATTGTTCGTTTCATTTTATCGATCAGTATATGTAAAATTTTTATTTTGTGTCTAAATCAAATGGCTGGAGCTGCCTAAAGTGGCGTTGATTGCTCAAAGCAAAAAACTTGCGTAGGCAAAAAAATTGTCTCATGTTTAAAATTATTATTTATTTAATTAGAACAAACATTCTGGATAAATATTTCAATGACCTGCTTAGCATGTTTGTTTTTCTTAAATAATGGAAATAATAAAATAAATGATATTGAAAAACTCCAAAAACCTCCGAAATTAGTACAAAAGAAGGAAACCAAGTGAATATGTATGTTATTGCATAAAAGTAGCTTAGAGGAATGTTATATTGTAACAAAAAATTGGAATCTATACCTCGATCTACACCAAAGTTTATACAAAATTTTAAATCAGCTATATTTTATTTATGAAAATTATATAGCAAAGAAGAAATAAATTTGTAATGCTTTTCACAGAGAGAAAAATACAACGTGCAAGTTGGTCAATGAGAGCAAATTTTAGCAATGGAAAAAAGTGCATCAATTGCATCTTTGAAATTCTCTTGAGAAAACTGAATTCTTTACGGTCTCTTCTCTGCTAAAGAAACAGAAAATTGGTGCTGGAATTAAGCAATTTTCTTCTCTTCTTGAATACTTATGTGATTCACCACGGAGACGTGCATTCGGTTTGCTGTGAAAAGAAGTCATTCTCGTGAGTCAGTGGTGCAGGAAGGAAAGAGTGCAGGAAAAAAAACGACGAGTGTGTAAAGCAAATTAGAGGTTGTGCTCTATGGCGTGTGAAAGTGCTGATGGCCGCCAGCAGCGGTGCATTTGAACGGAAACAAAACCCTGGAGCACCGACACAGGACGACAGACAAGATAATGTCTTAATCATGAGGAAGAGGAGAGGCGCGATTCAAATCTTTTGTGGTTCGAAATGATTAATTTTTTACAATTTGTCCGCCAATCAACCGTGAATTATTTCCGACGTATTTTGGAACAAATTGATTTGAAGAGGAGGAGAGAAATAATTCGCGGTTTTGTTTTTTGTTGCTCATTTTCAAGGGCCTTCCTCCTCTTTCCTAATTGAGCAATTTGGCCAATGACGAGACGCGCGGCGAGAATTCCGGAATCCGCCGTGTTTCGCTCGATTAAAAGCGATCGGCGCCGCGGGGCCCATTCGTCAACGCTCGGTGCAATAATTTACGCCTCATTTGCATTCGCGATTTATTTTTCATCACAGCGCGTCAATTTGGCCGCGGGTCATTTATGAAATGCAAATCGGCTTCATTATGTTATAAAAGAGCTTTTCGGCGGATGTGACGTGGAAAGGGCCCCGTGTGGAGGGGGTCAGGGGACCACCTCGGTCCGCAGACCACCCATCGGCGCGAGCTCCGCTGATCTCTCTATCTGCGGCCGCGAGTGGAGAACGCACAAGGCCAGCGCCAACGTCGCCTTTTACAGCAAACGATTCCCTCTTCGAACTTTTTGCTTCTTTTAAATACTTCTTCGCTCCGTCGTCCCGACGTGTAATTTATCATTTTCGGTCTTTCAAGCTCAATTACACGTGTGCGAATGAGTTATTTATCTTCAAATTACCTGCAAGAAGTTTGTGATGGCAGATTTTTAAGATTTGTTTATTTTACTTTCAATTTTGACCTTGGTACACACAATTGATGGTGGAATTCCCGCTGGTTGAAAGAAAATGAGAAACCAAATTACTTGCAAACTTGAATTATTATCCACCTTAGTATAATACAGAGACCTACTTATCAAGTTTATACATTAAGACGTTTTTAAATACACATTTCAAGTAAGTTTGTTTAAATAGCAAATTTAATAATAGCTAATAATTATTTATTTTTCATTTAATTTCTAAATAATTTAAAAATTTAAATATAAATAAATTATAATTTTACAATTTTCATGTCATTTGTTTTATTTATTTTATAAATGCTTATCAATTAAGATGATCTCATTTTCATCATATTATATTTATAAATATAAGAATTTTATAAAATAAATAATTAATCCATTGGATATTGTTTGAATCACTTCCTTGATGAAATTTTATAAATTTTACCTCATAAACGGTGCGCAAGTAAATTAATTAAAATTTAAATTAAATCTACAATATAATACAAGTTTATATTATATCACCAAGACTATGAAATGTATATGATAGGGTTGGGGCTACAGCACGAACAAGTTGTGCTAAACTCAAAGAAAAGTAATTTCGCACAGTGAACGAACGACCGCGAGCACGTTTTGCGCAGCGCAGAGTGTAATGTGGCATGTTTATTGTTCCACTGTGTGACATATTCAGGCTGGTTTAATAACAACGAGATAATAAGTACCGAGCGTTTCTCTCTCATCTGATGTATACGTTCCTTAGCATTATCATCTCGTCAGAATTATTCTCGACATAAGTGACGCCTGCTCAAATGGAGGAGACGCGCGAGAGGCAGCAATATTAATACATGCAGAGCGCAATTATATATATTATGTTTTGATAAATACGCCATTCAGCCATCAAGCGATGGTGAATGATGAATGAAAATGAGCCTGCTGGTATTCCGCGGCAGCGACACGTTTCAGATATGATACAAAACGACGCCGGATTAATTATTTATGCATTTGCAGCGCGAGCCACCGCAGACTGTTTTGCGAACGTGCTGCTGATTGTGACGCGCTGCGCCAATTAATTAATCCGCCGCAACGCAGTGATGCATTGTTTTTAATTAAATCGCTCACTCCTTTCATCTCCGCGGCCATTAATTTGCGCGCGAAAGCAATCCCATTTTTGGAATTGAAATTGGTTGGTCAAATTTCAACTAGTCTTTCTGAAAGAGGAATGAGAGCCTTATAATGAAGACTTTATTAAAAACAGAAAAAATAAAAAATTATTTGCAAAAATTAGCTTTTTTTCAAATTATTATGAACATTCAATTGATATTCAGTTTAAAAAAATATATTAATTTGAAGTAAAAAAGAATTATATGCTATATTTTATTTTTAATTAAAATATTTTTATTTTTCCATTTTTTAATTTTGTTATTATATATAACAAAATTAAAAAATGGAATGGATGAGACTTAATATAACAAAATAAAATAATAATAATTTCAATAATAAAATATGAGTTGATTTTTCTCTTTAAATTCCATAATTATTTTCTAATGCATATAAACAATAAATACTTTTGAAATTGAGTCCCACAAATATCTGCTACGTCTTAAAATATCTTTAAAATTTGAACTGGAGTTAGTTGTGTTCAATGTATTTAAAAACAATAAACTGGAATTTGTCAATAATATTAATTATGAAATAATTACATGGTACATAAAAAATTTCTACTAACAATTGTTAACTTCCTGAAGCTTGTTTGATAGGGACGCATTATTGGGACACCGAACAGGCACTCTCAAGCCATCAATTAGCTCCGCTGCCCGTGAATGTAAATTTATAACTTTTTGGCGCTACATTGTAGGCTCTGAAGCTGAGCAGCATGTAAACGCACACTTATTTTGCTCGCATGGCGGAGAGCACATAAAATATTGAGCACCCAAGTTCATTTGTTGTTAGTCGCGAGCAACAACAACGTTCCCTCTAATGCCGGCAAAGTATGCAGCCTGTAATTTATTATTTTGCCAGCTAATTCCAAGGCTGCATGCGCTCTCGTTGCGGCCGGTAATTTATCGCGCGCCGATGCACGACACCCATTCAGCAGTCTTCTCTCTCAACGCTAATGTTATGACGCGCGGTGCAAATTATTAGTTGTTATTTGGCGTTAACTGATTCTCATCACGGCTGCGCTCGATCTCGCGGTCTGAACTCGACCATAAATAAGCTGAGGTCGTGCAGCCTCCGCAAAAAACTCTGTGCCACCAACCATCAACTACACAGGAATTTCAATCTTCAAGCTAAACGCTAGTGAAACGAATTGAAGTTCCTCAGCTTTTTCATAGAAAATAATTGTACTAGAGTTATCTATGAATTTGAATTTTAAAAGGCCAATTCCAGATATGTCAAAATTACTTTTCTTCCGCTTTTTCCATATTGAAGTACAAAGAGTATATATATAATTTCAATAAATACGGTTATATATTTATAAATATAAAGATTATCAAAGAGATTAATTTCTTTCTTAAATATTATAACAAAGAATATTTAATTAATAAATAATATATAAATAAAAAAAATAATGTGTTAAAATGTAATGTTAATTTAGTTATTATATTTTATAAGTAAATATTATTAAAAAAAAATTAAACATAAATTTTTTGCTAACGATATTTTGTATATGCATATAGAATTGACGTTGCTTTTTGTTTCTCAATATGCGCTACAAATTATTTAGTTTCAGGGTTCATTAATGTATCACCGGGGATTCTCTGTCCAAATTCATCATTCTTAATTTCAATTTACAAATTTAATCAATAACAAGAGATAGAGAGACAAAATTTGTAATTACACAACAAAACAATAATTAATTTACATATTTAAGAAAAATTATTTAAAACTAATGAATGTTTTTGATTCCAGGTGTTCTGTCACATTGATATTTGGAGAGAATCCATCATCCAACTCTACTTGAGAAAATGTAAGTGCATTTTCTTTTATTCCCCTTTGCTGAACCTCTACTATGTGAAAGTTTAATTTGGAATGAAATACGTGTCAGTTTTCCGCCTTTATTACGTTTGCGTGCGACTAATCGCAAAATCACTGCTTCTAAAAAAGTCCTATTTTGGTCTCTACGGTCGCAAAGATGCGTCTTCCTTCTCTTTCACACACACCCTTAATCTGGCTAATCAAATGAATAAGGAAGCAAACCCCGCCCGTGACTGTCAACGCACTCGTAAAACTCTCTTTTTAGTGAGGGGCAGACATTTATCTCCATCTCCTTCTTCATTGAATCTCGATCAAAAAACTCGACGACCCCGCGCAATTTTAACGTAATCTTCGGAATGTAAGTAAAAGTATATCATTGCCGAGAACGATGCTATCTTATGTGTATCAAAACGCGGAACTTGCTTCAATGTGGACACTCTTGGAATTGAAAAAAAGGAGAAGGAGACACGCCCTGGGGGAATATGTTGCGCTCTGTCAAATGGATTCGAAAAGCTAATTACCAAAAGTTTGGACATCGTCAATTTGAAATCATTACCTCGTTATTCAAAATAAAAAAATTTAAAACTGATAAAGTTGAAATCGTATTGACGAAAAACATTTGCACCTCTGCGTCCATTTTATTTGAAGCGAATTTCACACAGTGTAGGTCCGAGCACCGGAAAATTCCACAGCCGTGCGGAAATTCGAGCCGGATTTATTTCCGCCGCTCTCTGCTGGAATATATTGGAAAATTTGTGCTGGACAAAAAGCCAACGACGGGGAGTGGGACCAGCGTCAGGTATTCAAATATGCGCGCAGATTGGAATGTGCGCAAAAATGTTTGCGAGTTAATTAGTCGCTGGGTCGCATTCTTGCTGCAGAGCGAAATTAATAAACTTGCTGGTTTCATTAACTCACCTGGTGTGTGGGAAATTGGAAAATTGTTGGTTGAAAATTCACCAATAATTTTTTTAATAACCAAACCTGAGAACAAATTGATAAAAAAATTAAAGCTTTTAATTCAACGTTTGACAAGTCAGATCTGATATAATTTGAATATAAATAAAAATTACTTTCTTTCGCAATCTGGGTGAAAAGATTTTATTTTATTTGATATTAATGTAAATCATATTTGCCTAATTTCGATAAAAATGGTTTTTATTTTGCTGATATATCTTTATTATGTGCTTAAATTCTATTTTGATATTTGCCCTTCAACTGCAACGCTTTATTTGAGGTCTGGACTTTTTCTAACCAGCCTGTTGGAAGAGAGACTGCGTGGGCGATAAATTCGGCGACTAAGGGTTTTTTGATACACACTGCTGGCGAATCGCCCGGCCACTTGTGATGTATTTTGGATGATGCACGTGTCTGCGCATTTCCCATTGAGCCGCGCGCAATTCGCCAAGAGAGCGACGGCTGCACGAGGGCAGGGGCACGAGAGGTGATCTTTCAATTTCCTCGCGTCGCACATTCGATGATATTACACCGCATTTTCCCTCTTTTCTTACACAACACGTCGTCGTCCCCTTGTAGAACGGAAAGTTGCCTTCACACAAAAGAAAGAACTGGGGAAAGAAAACTCTCTGTCTGGCCAAGCGTCTGCCAGATCCACTTTTCCGATAGCGACGACAATCCAAATGTGCCTTATTGATTCATCCCTTAAAGGCCTCGGTTGCTTAGTAAGCAAGGCGCCTTATAAACTTTGCTTTTTGTCCCTCGTGAACTGAACCCAAAATAAAATAAATAATTTATTATTTAAATAATTTTAAGGAATCAAATCGTAAATTTTTAGGTTCACCCTAGCCCATTATTTTATTTAAATCCACTTGCTAGTTAGCTTAAAATAGATTGTTCTTTATATAAAAAAATATTCGGCGTCATTTGATTTTTAAATGGAAGAAATTAAATTTTTGTATTTGCCAAAAATAAAAATCTAAAGAGACCAAAGAGAAAAATTCTTACTTTTTTTGCCACTCCTGAATTTATTTCCAAGACCTCTGACCCATCTCCAACCAAAAAATGATGGCCTTTTCTTTTTAATTGTGTAAATTTTAAATGATTATTCAAAATAATTGATTTCAAAAGACAAAATACCTACACTCCAATATTTTGTCATTTCTTTCAACTGCACCAGTAATATTTTATAAGACGCAGAAACTGTGCTGACATAAATAAAGTAAAAAAAACTAATTAAAATTAAATTATTACAAACTGGTTTAAAAAAGGTTCTTGGAGCTCATTAAGAATTTCACAGCTCTTTATTAATTCAGTTTAAAGTTTATTTGGCTGAAGTTACGACTATGAGGAGCATTCTAATAAGACCTGTGTCGACCTGTGTGAAGCCGCGAGCCAATATAGCAAGTGCCCTCGAGATGCTTATCGGCTTATTTAAGTGTCATAAATAGTGGAGTGGTCTCGTCTCTTAGGCTTATTACACCTGAATCTGGTGCCCACGCACGCATAATCTCAATGGTGAGATGCTCAATCGCGCGCGCACCCTTATTAAATTTTATTCGATTTCAAGGAGTGCCGTATCTTTTTCTCGCCGCCGCCGCGTGCAATTTTCCTATTAGCGCCTTTTCAAGACAGGGTGTGTGTTTTGAATTATTTGGGCGCGGTCTCTGCAGCTCTGTCTGACGGCGCGAAATTCGTACCTGCGGCTCTTCATTTTGGCACCATCAAGGCCCTGAGAGCGGTGGTGAGTCTGTTGAGTGCCACCTGCAGTTTCGGCCAGACGCGTTTTTCACCAAATGGCCCGCGGGAGGGCTCGCCATACTGCCCAGACGCCCGAAAATACGGGTGAGAAATCGCGTCGTGGGTGCGAAAAGTGGCTTTTATGGACGCAGCAAAGCGAATATGTGTGTTTTGTATATTAATAAAATTTACATGTTAAACTTTTATGTGGTGTCATAAAAAGGACCGAGATACTTAAAACTTTTAAAACAAACTTCAGGTAATTGTAAAAGAAGTTGTATGATTAAAAAAAATTTAATTTGAATAATTTATTTCAGTTGAAGCAGTGAAATGCTTACTAACTGGTCTCCACTGGTCTTCAATAGGAGAAAAAAATTTGTATTAATTTTTTATGCATATTAATTAAATGTATATCAAATTATTATTCAATTCAAATGTTTTCAAAGTTACAAATATTTCATTAATTTCTGGATATCAATCAAATTAAACATTAATTTTCGATTTTATGATCTAATTTTTTAACTAATATTGTTTTTAATTTTCATCTCGATTACACGATTATTGTTTTTCTTTTCTTTTTGTGTTTCAAATCACGACAAGAAGCAAAGCCGGATGTAAATTTCGTGTCCGCTTTTGTTTGGTTCACTTCGAATTCAGACCAAACCTGGTCAATCAATCACGGCTGAATTAAAATTCATGAGGCGCCGAGTCTCTTTCTCTGTTGCTTTTTGCTCTCGTTCCTGAAGCAAGATTTGTATTCTTTTTTTGTGTCGTGTTTGTGACCAAGAGCACTCTGATATTTAAATGTTATATGCCGCGGTAATGGCCACCGACATTTGCATTATTAGATCAAAATGTTTTATTCAAACGGCGTCAAAAGAAAACAAAACAACATACCAAGCCTTACATTATGTATCAGAGACCGCGTTGGTTTTGTTTTATGTTGTACAAATCTCTTTCAGAGAGAGAGACAAAAAGGACAGCGAATAGTTGAAGGTAAAAAAATCAAAATCTAAAACTGCACATTTTTGCTAGAATTTTAAACAAATAGAATAGAAATAAATAGAACTAAAAATTTTCCAGATTATATTGAACATGTTTATTGGGCAAATTTGAGAGACTTAAAATAGTCTATTTAATTATAATAAGCGACTTTACACTTGCCGAGCTTTTTTACTTCAACAAAAGTTTCAAGTGATTGGTGATTGTGATAAGAGGACTATGTCTCTTCAAATAAAACAAGCACATAAAAAAATTGCATTTCAATAAACTTCTTTCTTATTGAAAACTTTTGTTTTAAAAGTTTTAAATCTGGTGATTTTCGGAAAAGATTTACACATGAAAATAAAAGGAAATCCTTTTTGATGTTTGGAGCTAACCTAACTTTTTGTCTGCCACACTGCTGTGAATAAAGCAGGTAGAAAACGCACACATTTCATATTCACAACGGCCAAAAGCATCGGCGAAACGATGGGGATGATGCTCTTTACTCTTCCCTTTCGCCGTATACCCTCTTTCTCTCATCTTTCCACGTATACATACATACGTACTTGAGGATATAAAACAGAGACGTCTGCGAGCTGTTTCAGGCTAAAAATCGCCTCTCATGAAGAGCACCAGAACGCCGAGGATAAAAATGTTGAGAGAGAGAAAAGAGAGCGAATCGTGAAACAGCAGCGAGTGCCTGCTTGGCTGCATCCATAATGCAAAATGCGACGCCACTGCAAACAAAACTGCCAATCCTCTTTGTCTCTCTCTCTGCAAATAAATGTGTTTGTTAAGCAGTCGGCGTGCAATTCGCGTATTATGCACCGGCGAAAAAGAGGCAACGTGCCGAGATGATGGATGCATGTACGATATGTACATAAATAATATTTTTGTCTGATAATGAGAGCTTGCATTTCCCTGTAAAAAACATGGAAAAACCCTCAACGCATTATCTTTGAACCACTTTTTTTCTGCTATTTTTGGCATATGATAAATAATTAGTCAAGAATTGTATAAATACACTGAAAATTTTTATAATAAAATAAATAAAAATGATGGCTTATTATGTGTTAATTTAGCATTTTAATGTAATTATGAATTATTCTTTAGGATTAAAGAATATATGCGAAATTTAATACAGAACTTTTGGGACTCAGCCAGAAAGGCATTCCTATTGATATTTTTTATTTCATCACAACTCAAACTTGATCACTAAGTTCCTTAATAAATGATATTTAATTTGTCATTATATTTATTAAAAAAATTGTTTTCAATTATAAAATAAATTTTAATGATTGCGTTTTTGGT